AGTCAACCCCCAAGGAAAGGCCATGCCACAATTCCTTTTCCTCCATTCTCCTTTTGGAATTTTGGGTGCTTGTACATGTACTTGGGGTGATTTTCAACCACTGGGTCTGGGACTCGAACCATGGTCAGCCATATGGGAATCCAGTGCCTTCACCACTCCACCTCCTGGCCCCATCTTCAGCTCTTTTAATTTTTTACTAATTCTTGTACTATAAAATATTCAGGAAAGCATTTGAATCTGAAATAGTTACATTTAGCTTCCTGTAGAATTAAAAATAATGTTTGAAGGAAAAGGTGGAGAGAAATGGAATAAGCCAAAAAATTTTGAAATATTTATGATTCTTCAGCACTTATCTACTTATTAAACAACTGCATGTAGATTGGACTTGGACAATTAGTGTCTCTGCCTTACTCAGTAATACTGTATACACGTGGGAAATGATCAGTCACCAATTTACACTACCAAAACAGCTCTAGTTTTTTTTTTTTTTTTTTAATTCCAGACAGATACACACACATTAAAACAACAAAGGAGTCATAAGTCCTTACTCTCCAGTGAATATACCAGATCACTATGGGGAAAGAACATAACTGTTAAGTATGTCTTGCTGCAGTTCTCCAATTCTGAAGTAGATATAAAGGCATACAGTTGCTATTAGTGGAGTAAAGTGTGCACACTTGCTGAGTAGCTAAGTATATTAATAAAAGTACTTTTAAATTCTACTTAGGGATAAAAGATTGTTTCTCTTATCTGTCCTCAATGACTTTTTAAAATTACCAATACAAAGAGCTTCCCTTAAATTGCCCTTGATTTCTCATACCACCATACAAAACACTACTCTACAGGAGTCTGTTGCCACCGACTGAGAAAAGGCCAGTGGTTCTAAGGTTTGTTCTTGGGTTTGACAGCCTGAACTAGAGCTGATTGACTCCTTCCTGGGTGCTTCTCCCCTGTCCTCAAACTCAGAACTAGAAACAGGTATAAATCAGAAAGTCACAGAATAAATATCTGTGTTTTAAAAAGCAATCAGGAAGAACAAAACTTGTTTTTAGAACACAAATGCAAGCAAAGTTCAATTTCAAGACCAGGAAGATGTGCTGGAGCCCTAAGGTATTTTCCTTGGATGTATTTACATTTTTTCTTTTTCTTTTTTTTTTTTTTTAGAGGTTTTGTGCATGCGCTCGCCAGACAGACAGAGAGAGAGACAGAGAGACAGAAAGCAAGAAATCACCCTCCCCAGGGGGGATGGCCACGCCTCAATCCATTCTCCTCCATTCTCCTCTCAGAATCTTGGGCACGCACACACATGCGCCCGGAGTGAGTTTTAAGCTTCTGGGTCCGGGATGCGAACCACAGTCAACTACGTGGGAGTCCAGCAGCATAGCCATTACGCTAACTGCTGGTCCCCAGATGTATTTACATTTTCATGGAACTGTTTAAATTCATAATGTAAGGGAATAAAGCAGTATAAAAAATTACTCTGGAGTCTAGTGTCAGAACTAAATTAGTTTTGTTTTTTGTTTGTTTCATTCGCTTGCACTGAAAGGACTTGGAAATGCATAGGAGTCATCGGTCTCTGTGCTCAGTTCCTTCCTGGCAGTAGAAACGTTTTATCGGCCCTACATTGTCTCTAAACTACATTTCCAACAACTATTTGCTTTCAGTTGACCGATAGAATAGTTCATAGATTCCTTTGAATTTGCTTAGCTTTTCATTCTGAAACACAACAAAACCTCTTCCCAAAGAGATGGAGAGACTTTCTTCTGGGTATATTCGAAGTACAGCTGCTCCCAGAGTCCTTTTGTCTAGCTGGATGACAAAAGTCTGTTTAATTTGGCCACTTGAATGAGAAACACAAAGCTTTTATTTAAAATTTTAGTATTTCCTATGTGGTTGTATTCTCCAAACACTAGCAACAAAATCGCATCGTGATGTGTACAACGTGTGAATGTAGAGGTGAACACCCATAGTCTCTTAACACTAGAAGCATCATTCTGAATAAGGTAGGGAATGGGAAGTAATGTGAATTATTGTATCGTATCGTTTCCACGGTTTCCTTTTATCTCCCAGAGATGGTGGCACCTGCGCACACATGGGAGCACACATGAGAGCACACACATGCTAAGGCGGGTGTCACATCAATTTTCTATCACTGAGTGTCAGAATTGAGAGGCATTGCCTTGTTCACCTGGTCCAGCCCTCTAGTTAACAATTCACAAGGTTCTGGGTTTTAAATGTTTTTTAAAAAGTTGTTGTTCTTATTTTTTTGCTTTCATTTACATACCCAGAGCGGTTGTACCCAGATTACAAAAAAAAAAAATTAATAATAATAATGTAAATGTTTTAAAAAATTGATAAAGCTTCACAGTATTGCTGGTTCTACCATTGAAACAGCCTTGAAAATTTTTAACATGAAAACTCTTACTATTATCTGCACTTTGGACAAGTGGATTGAGGGGTTAAGTATATTAATTCATTTTGCAAAATGCTGGCTTATTTTGGAGGGCACAAGCAAAGGATAACTAATCAGGAATGCACAGCACTTAGCAAATCTGAAGTGTTTTATGAATTCCTAATAAAAATGCTTTGATGGTTGGGGTAAGAATTGCAGTTTATTACCTTGATTACCAATAATTTAACTCTTATCAAAGTTGGTGCCCTTTTCAATTAAATAACAATTATTTAAACAAATGTTTTAGTCAGCTGGTCAAAGTATCACTGATTAATGAGACACTTTAAAGGCGATGTCTGAGACCTTAACCTAAAATCACTATGAAGTCAAATATACAGCATTTGTTTATCCATGATTTTAATAGCAGGTCACCATACGGAATATTGTGCCATACAGTAACAACTCTATGGTGAAAACTATGGTGATACACAGCCTCCCACACATTTGTTTCATTTATAGAAAGACAAATATTGCTGGTATGGTACTGCCTATTATAACGGGCTGATTGAGGATGTCAAAGGTGCTCTAAGGAGTTAATATTTGTGGGTCGGCAGATGGCATGGTGGTTGAGGGTACTGGATTCCCACATAGCCAACCACAGTTTGAGTCCTGGACCTGGCAGCTTGCTTTCTCTCTCTCTCTCTCTAACCCTCTCTTGTCAAATTAAAATAAATAAAATAAATAAACAAATTGGGACCAGCAGTTGGTGTAATGGCTATGTCGCTGGACTCCCAAGTAGTCTACTGCGATTCAACTCCCGGACTCAGTGGCTTAAACTCATGCTGGGGCACATGTGCATATGTGCTCAAGATCCTGAGAGGAGAATGGAGGAGAAAGGATTGCAGGGTGGCCATCCCCTTGGGGGGTGATTTCTTACTTTCTGTCTCTCTGTGTCTGTCTTTTTGGCGAGTGCACGTGCCCTATAGCAAAAACCTCTCCAAAAATAAGTAAATACATAAATAAGTAAATAAATAAATATTAAATAAAATAATTATTTAAAAACTTTAATATTTGTTTGACCATAATGTAGAAGACGACATTTTGTTTTTCAGGTAATATTCAGGATAAAGAAAAATTTCATTTTTATTCTTTAAAAAATTTAATCATTTTGGAGTGCATCATAAATCCTAATAAAATGGAAATACCCAAGCAGTCAAACTTAGATTTGTGAATGCCTTATCTTGGATTATACGGGAAGAACAAAATTTTGATGATCAGAAAACTTGTATACATAGAAAGAAAATCTCTATAAGATAGAGATTACCTTTGGACTGCATTTTTTTTCACGTCCATGAACAGGCAGTCTTCTAAGTTTTCTATAGATCCCATGGATGCAAATCCACGTGGAGTGTTTGTTTTAGGTGGTCAGAAAAGTCATGGTGCATTTTTGCATGGAAAAATATGTCATGACTTTTCAGATGACCTAATAGGTAAAATACTCCTCGAGAAAAAGAACGTATTTGCTACCAAGTGTGATGATTAATTTTATCCCTCAACTTGATTGGGTCATGTGTTGTTGTCCTGACATGTGGTCAGACATTCTGCTGGCTGTATCTGGATGAAACTGACATTTGAATTCATAGACTGAGTACTGTAGATTGTCCTCCCGAGTGTGGATGGATCTCTTTAATCAATTGAAATATAAATGAAACAAAGAAGCTTAGCAGAAAGAACTCTTCATGCTTGACCCTTAATCTGACAGTTTTCTACTGACTTTCAGACTTATACTAAAACATCAGCTCTTCCTATCTCCATTCTGCTGTATTTTAAGCTAGAACTTACACCATCAGTTCTCCTGGTTCTCAGGCTTTAGGGCACTGACTATACACTGGTTTTTCTGAGACTCCAGCTTCCTGTCTGGAGATGTTAGAACTTCTCAGACTCTGGACTCATGTAAGTCAATTCCTTACAATCATTTTCTTTAAATACACACATGCACATGCACAGTTAGTCTGATTCTCTAGAGAACACTGACCAAAACACTCTAATACTATCTAAAGCAATTTTAAATTTTGTGCTTTGTCTAGTCAATTTTTAAAAATTCAAGTAAAATAATCATGATTTTTTTTTTTTTTTCTTGAAAGAGGTTCTTAGGTGGAGCAAAGTCAACTAAACACAATAGCGAAGTAATGACAAGAAGATATTCCTTCCGCATCGAAGGCTTCACTGCTGGCCAGCCTTGTCATTGCAACAGCACCTGAAGTTTCTGTAAGATGTACTAGCTAGCTAAGTCATCCTCACCAAACTCAACTAAAAGATTTAGAATGATAGACCTTTAGGCAGTATACACTTAAAAAAAAAATCTACCTAAACACTAAACAGTGAAATAATTGAATCCATACTATTGATTGAGAAAAGTAAAGGGACATGGGTGAAATCATATCCCAGGCCATGTGACTGATGTTAGCTACGTCTTCACTGTGAGCAGAATCAGCCTAATTTTGCTGATGTATTTCCAATTGTGGAAATTACGTGCATAGCTCGAGCAAACATAGTAAACACACTGTGTTTTCTCCCAGTGAAAGAAGATCTTTTGTTCACAACTTACTTTGATTTCTTCATATACAGCCAGTAGACAACACCAGCGACAAGGGCAGCAAGGAGCAGGCCGACGACGATTCCCACAATGAGTTTCGCCTGGTCATTCACCTTTTCTCTGTTTTCATCTACGACAGAGAAGAAAAGTCCTTGCAAATTACAGACACTGCCAAGGATTTTAAAACAGAAGTTAATCTATTACTACTTCTTAGTAAAAATGACTAAGGTTCACTACTGTGGTTGTCATGCAAACTTGTGATTTTAAAGGGTAACGTTTTAGCATTCTTACTGTCTCATCTCATTTGGTATTTTAGTTCAATTCGAATTGTGAATAGCTAAGCAAATTACTCATACAATGACACTTCATGAATCTTGAGCTGTTAGTCAAGGAAGAAGAGTCGGCAGCATAGTACCTACCACTGATCTCGTCTGCCTCATCGTGTTCTGGAATACTTACTGAAATGAAAAATGTTAATATGAAATTAAAAACAAAATTTGTTGATATATGAAAGCCACCTTTTACCATTATAGTATGATGTAATAATACTCAAAGATAAAATATCTATTCTACAGCTAAGGGTAAAAAAAATAAAATAAAATCCACACAATAAAGCATGAACTTCCCTACAAAGAAATTTATCTTATTTTAAGAAGAGAAGAGTAGTTAACCTGCAAAGGTATTAATCGAACATAAAAATTTCACAACCGACAAGCTATACAACTAATCGGAAATCCATATTAATTTTTCTACTACTATCTATCACCTTTTAATAGTACCTGCTCTTTAAGAGAAACAAATTGGCACCTATGAAATCTATGATATGGTGTTACTCAACTCTTCTCAACTTATTCTGCCCTGCTACAGAAGAATTCATTTCCATCTTCTAGCGTCCAAGACTTACCACTAGAGATGTCTCAGAGTTGTGTAGGTGGAGGTTAAAATTAAGATGCCTTAGAGATTAAGAAGCAACATATATGATGTTTGTAAAAGCCTTCCCAATAACTTTGACAGTGAAGAATCAAGGCTAATGTGGATGTGTGTCCACCATTAAACTATATAAATATCCTTAAAAGTGCATGAGCCTGCATCAAAAATGTCAGTTATATTTGTCAAAATGTATATGCCCAGACCCTGTATCGTGTATACTAAATTGGAATCTCAAAAGGTACTTTCTGAATTTGAAAACTACTGTATTAAATGTTGATCAAGCCACTGCAAAGCCTAGAAAACGAAAGTACACCATTCAATGGGTTCAAATAAAAAGAAGGATTTGTGTTCAGGAAGAAAGAATAGGTTCTCTTTGTAGATGGGACAAATCAATACTCGCTGAATTGCATTCTGAGAAGTCAATGCTCCTGGTTTAGAGTTAATTTTGTTTGGATCTTTTCTCCTGTCAATCCACTGAGCCTTTGTAGTCCAATCATAATCTGTTAGGTACCATTATCTTTAGACAATTATTTTCTCCGAGTTCCTGCTAATTCCTACTCGGCGTATACTTAACCTGCTGCTGTCACATACAAGATTCCAAACGACTAAAGCACAAAGGTTTGGCAGGTCAGTTAGCATCCTGTTCAGAATTGAGCCTCATTCCAGGCCAGTCTTGATTTTAGGTTGATATAACAATAGGAACAATAACAGAACTGAAGATGATGGATAATATCACATTAAATGAAAAATGTTTTCAGATGAAGCTGGTCTTGTTACATATGTACTATGTTGATTTCAGATTGACAGATTTGTTCACTTTCTTGAGATCATTTCATTTATATGACTTTTGGCTATGATTCAAAAATGATATGACAAAAAGAACAATGTTTTAAACTAGAGTTCATGAATTCTAATAGCAGTTTTGCTTTTCATTTGATAATGCCTCATTTGTGGTACTCTCAAACTAAGAGTAGGATACACTGCAAATAATTGGAATGCAAAATAATAGACTAAAAGAAATTTAAAATTATTATATTTAAAACTGTTACAAAATGTTTGAATGTAGCCTTTATTTTTACACTGAATAGAAAATATTAATTAAGTAACAGTAACTTATTTCTTATTCTCTGTTGCTCTTAAAAAATATTCCTGTACAGGGTAAGATCTCGGACCCATAAAATACGAAGTAACTGAACTGTCAAGAGAAGACAAGGATAGTACAAGAATGAACACTAGGAAAAAACAAAAACCTTGTGATGATGATACCAAATGCAAAATAAAGAAATAAAACTTACCATAATGCAGTACAGGAAGATGGAATTGAAGATTTTAAACTAATGAAGAATAACTTCAAATTTTCTTACTTTTTTAATGCCAGAAATGAAATACTCACTAGCAGAGACATTCAAGGAGTTTACTGTTCTCTCCAGCTGGTTTTCTGCTGTGCAAGTTAATGTAACATTCTCTTCAGGGGAAATGATAATTTTACTATAATACTTGCCATTGATATAAGGGGATTCCTCTGTCTGGAAAAAGGAAAAGGGAGTTGGGGTTAGAAATGGAAGTGTATTAAGAAGCAGGGAAAGAATACTTTTGAATGAAATTGGATAAATGGGGTGGTCTGCAGTGCAGTCTGCTTTTTAAGATGATATGTAAGGTTTTAGGTAAAGACTGATGTGAGCCTATATCTACTGAAGATAGGAAAAAGATCAATATAGTGAGATTTCTGTTGATGTTTCTATTGTAAATTCTAATAATTACATTATTTACTCTCTTTTTCAATGGATGCTCCGGTTTGATTAGTGTTTTGGTAGGATGGTACTTGTCTCAAAGTAATTAATTAGTGATTATCTAGTCACAAAATTTCCCTCCATAAACTTAGAAATGTAATTATTTATGAATTTGGTCAATGTGTTTTACTAGAGGGGTTAATTCTTTAATCTTAAACTATTATATTTACGTGCATGTGTATGTGAGAGGAGACTTCAAAAAGTTCATGGGAAAATGAAATTAGAGTACCAGTTTATTTTGGTGCAATGAAATTTGAGTTCCATGCAGAATTTTTTCATAATATGCATTTTCCCTTGAACTTTTTAAAGACACCTCACATGTAATTTGCTTATGGGTAAATGAAATAATTTGTTCTAAAATTTTCTGTGCCAAATACAGAGGATGAATTCTTTCCAGTGACTGCTAGGTTGATTTGAGTTTTGTGAGGTATTAATGAGGACAACCACTATATTTAATTTCTTCAAACATACACAAACCAGTTTAATCTTGTTCGTTTATTCCTATATATAATATAACTGATGCAAATATGAGGTTTTACTCCTTTCTAAAACATGATATATACACATAATTTCCTCTTTTATTTCGCTTCTATTTTGTTTGCTTTCTCATTAAGTACACTGTAAGCAGCTTGACGACAAGAAGTAGTTTCATATTTGGACTCCCATCTAGTCTCTGGGGGCAGAGAAGGGTAGACATATGTTGTCGTTGTAAAACAATAGATTCACCATGTATTTGAAAAGGTAACAAATAAAAGATTATGAATGGATCAGCAAAACCTAGAACAGGAAAGATAGTGTATCACCTAGTGGGCCAGAATCAATCCTTCTCCTTGACAGTGAAGAATGGCATTATTATTTTTATCCTCATGGTAACTTCACCTACTACTTTTCCACTTCCCACGAAGATTTTTCATGTGACATCCTCACAGTCTTTATTTTTGTTATTTTAATCTCTGCAAAGTATATTTGCTCCTTTCTAGGATAGCTCTTTGAATCTTTGTATCCTTTTCATTCATCAAATATTTCTTATGTGCTTATTTTTCTTTTTTCTCTGCCTGCATTACCAGAACCTAAAGGTTTTTTGCTGCTGCACTTATCACTTAATTGAAAAAAGTGAGCAATATGAACAGCGCAGAAAATAATTATTTTTGATGCTAGAAAATAGATCTGTACCTCATCAGCAATTCAGGTGGTTTATATCTTTATTCCCAATCAAAGAAACTACATTTCCTTAGGTCTGCAGGGCCCAGAGCACGTATGCTTTCCTGCAGCATACTCTCTCATTTGTGTGTCCCGTCATTCCTAACCAAATCGGCAGTCATTTGCTTCAAGTGTGCCTACTGCTTTAGGGCCATCCATACTTGGAATTATGCAGACAGTATCGCTGCCTCACCCACTGGTGAAAGAGCCCCGTGCCACATGACCTGCTAAGCTGCACTGCCTAAGCTGGACTACTGGCCAGAGATAAGTGGAAGTTTTAACTCAAATTAGTTTCAAGCTCTTTGCCTTATACATGTCTTCTCACATTTCAACTGAGTCCAAATCTGGAAGAAGGCAGCACAGAAGATTCAAAGAATAAAATGACACCTCAGGGTGCTCCTGGAGAGTCTTTAACGGGTTCTACTGAGAAGAGGGGCATGGAGACTGCTGTAGAGGAAGTGGAATTAACAAGTATGTCACTAACCCAAGCAGATTGGCAATTTGGTGGAATCACAGTTCTGAACTTCCAGTAATAGGCCAGATTCTAATTTTTCCCCCAAAGATTTAATATCAGGAAAATATTATTGGACATTTTCCTAAGTTCTTAACCTTTTACTATTACTAAAATGTCCTGCAAAAAGCATATGTAGTAAGGTTCTATTTATGCTCCCTTTTGTTCAGAATTGCACATTCTAGCTATTAATTTCATGCTTTATTTGGGCCCTAGCCCAGGCACAGGCAAATTTGACCATATGTTCACAGCAGTGACGTCGTTCTTCACCACCCCCCAGGGCCCAGTTTTAAGAAGAAATACCCCGTAATGTGCATAAGTAAGCAACGTAATGGAGTCTACTTATTCTCAATGTGTAAATTTATGATGCAGAGAAGTGTATACCGTAATGTTTCAATCACCCAAATTTCAAGAATTAATGACCATGGAGCAACACTATTTTTTTTTTTTGAACATTCTTCTAAAAACAGATACCAACCACAATATAATGGTTCTTCCATTCTCTATGGCTTTGTTATTTAAAATTTCTCTTTGAGCCATGGTGTTCCTTTGGGAAAATTAAGAAGTTGGGCAACGCTTCTTTTGAGAGCACACTACAAATTTCATGTGGTAACAAAGCAGGTAACAGTTTAGGAACCTAAATAAAGCCCCACATTGTACCAAGTGCAGCATATAACAAGAAGACAAATACTTGCTTGGTTTATGACACTTCCGCTGCCAGTAATTGTCCACTGTATAGCTGGCTTTGGAAAACCTTCCACATGGCAGATTATTGTTTTAGACAATCCACTGGGATCAGTTTTCTTTGTCATTTTGATTTGAGGTTTTCCTAAAATAGCATTACAATTAAAATACGATGTTGAACTGAGATCATAAAAGAAACCAGGTATCAAATTCTCAAAGAAATTTTGAACTGATGCCCAACTCTTTTATTACCTTCTACAATGAGAGTCAAGGATTCTCTTTTTCTCAGTCCTTCGACCTCTTGGAGAGCAGTTTCACAGACATAGTTGCCAGCATCCTGATAATGAAGACTAGAAAATGATGGGCTAGATCGAAGCCTGATGTTATCCTGGTAAAATGAAAAGCATATTACCTCACATGGCACAATTACAACTCTCACTGTATTTATTAGATAATAATTAAGCCTGAAACTGTTCTTTTATAATGAAAATGCAAGCTTCTTTCTCTTAACATCAGCTACTTCAAAAAATAGATTTCCATTGGCTTTGTGGTTTTAAAGTCAGATACAATAGAGTTTTGTTTCACACTCTTCTATTTACTGAATTTATAATTTGGAGGAAGTTCATAATCTTTTTTTTTTGTGTGTGTGTAGGTTTTTGCTATAGGGCACGTGTGCTCGCCAGACAGACAGAGAGAGACAGAGAGACAGAAAGTGAGAAAGCACCCCCCAGGGGGGATGGCCACGCTGCAATCCCTTCTCCATTCTCCTCTTGGGATCTTGGGCACGCATGCACACGTGCCCGGCGTGAGTTTTAAGCCACCAGGTCCGGGATACGAACCATGGTCAACTACATGGGAGTCCAGCAACATAGCCATTATGCTAACTGCTGGTCCTGGAAGTTCATAATCTTATGAGACTTGATTTCCTTAACTTCTGAAGTGGGTTAATAATATTACATTAAATTATTAGGAGGACATAAATTTATAAATGATTTAATGTGTTTTCATTGAGGAAAGTTTCAATCACTAAAAGTAGTCTTTGTAGTATTTGTAGATGACATAGGGCTGACAGAAAGGAGGACTTGTGGTACTTAATCACTGATGGTGTAAGTGTCTGAAAGGCATTTCATATGATACCCTTATCAGTACAAAGGATTCATTACAGAGCCACAGCTATTATTTTAAGACTGCTTTTTATTTTTTTATTGTCTAAAATAAACATTTTTTATGATGTATGCAATCTATTTTTTCAACATAGAGCTTTTTAAAAAGGAATTATTTTATTTAACTTTTATTGTTATTATTATTATTACTTTCTAGTTTGATCAGAGACAGATAGAGAAAGAGAGAGAAGGAAAGTGAGAAAGTAAGCCACCAGGTCTGGGACTTGAACTGTGGTTGGCCATGTGTGAGCCCAGCACCTTGAACTACTACTCTACCTGCCGGTCCCTCAACAGAGAGCTTTACATTTTTTGTCTGTTAAGTGTTTCTTTCCTTTGTACCGCAAATCTACTATGTACCACCCACTCTCTCAATACTGCTTTTGAAGAAAATTTTTATAACAGATCATTATCTTAATTTCTGGAAGCAAAGAAAACATAACATTTAATTAAAAAAAAGCACCTAATATACAGAAAATAATCCTATTTTGTCAGAAGTTAAAATGGTTTTGAGCAGGCAACTATGAACAGTCCTAAGACTATATTTCTTTGTCCACTAAGGTATCTTACCAACCCCATCATCCAGCCAATGGTAGGGCAGTACTGGTCAGCACTGCTGCAAATGCATTAGGTGTTCATGAATGACGGAATATATTTGGTATTCAGGCAACAACAGTGACTGAGTGCATTTAGTAAGTGGTTTAGGCACAGCAAACTTGGCATTTCTAATCCTGTGGTAAAACACATTGTGGACATTCATACAATTTTTGATTTGCCTAATTGCTTAGAACTTGCCTAGCCATGTGACCATTGACTACCACAAATATATCATGTTAAATATTTAGCTTACAGAGTGACATTTAATTACATGAGTGAACAAGAAGTTGTGATGGGGTTGTGACCAAAATAAAAAGTGAAAGAAAAATTGAGTTCTACAGTATGAAAACAAGTAACAGAGGATTTAAAATGAAAGGGGTCAAAAATCGAACTACAAAGTAATGCAAAATAATTTTTATTGAGAAGAAATTGTAGGCATAAATTTATCCACAATTAAAAAAAATTCCAGATGTGTGTTCTCCACAGAGAGAAAGAGAAAGATTGGGAAAGCACAAAAGCAGCCCCCTGTCTCCCCACTGGGGATGGTCACAGCTTGATCCCTTCTCCTCTACTTCTCCCTCTGTCAGGATTTTGGATATGCATGCACACGGGCTTGCCGTGTTTTTCAAGTCCCCGGGTCTGAGACCAAACTGGGCTTTTGGCCATCTAGGATCTAGTCACCTCAGCCAGCAGGCCATAGGCCGGCCCACTTGACTAATTCTTTTTCTTTTTTTGAGAGAGAGAGAGAGAGAGAGAGAGAGATTTTTGCTATGAGTTGCAGGTGCGCCCCCCACACACACACAGACACACACACACACACACACACACACACAGAAAGAGAGAGACAGAAAGTGAGAAAGCACCCCCAGTGGGAATGGCCACACCACAGTCCTTTCTCTTCCATTCTCCTCTTGGGATTTTGGGCATGCACACATGTGCACCCAGTGTGAGTTTTAAACCACTGGGTCCCAGACTCAAACAGTAGTTGACTATGTGAGAGTCCAGAAATGTAAGCATTACGCCATCTGTGGTCCCCCTCTTCCCTATTTTTAATAAAGATAATACTTGTCAATTTCTATTTCAATTGGCATGAGTGTTTGCTCAATGTATCACTGTTTAAGCACTCTTCTCATGTGTCATGCTCTAGTAACAAATAGGCTGGGTGTTTGGATATACTAGTCAAAGGTTTAAGTGGAGGGATTATAGTTACAATCATTTCCTTTGATGATAATCCTGTCTCAAATCACCAATTACCAAACTCACTTTCTCAATCTGAACAGACAGCAATGAATGTGTCTCCAGGAAATGGCCTAGGTTGCAGCCAATAATAGACTAAAGAACTCATTCAGTTATGTGGTTTTGAGTGTCTCTCCCAAGAATCTGTGTGTTGATATTTGGTTGTATTATGAAGTACTAAGAGAGTGAAAACTTAATCTAATTGTGACATTAAGAGATGGGGCTTCTGGGAGGTGCTTCAGATTAGATAGGACTTCCAGGGGAGGCCCCCGTGATGGAATCTCAGTGGGTTTATGAGGAGGGGGCATCAGAAAAGCACAAGCTCTTGCCATGTGATATCCTGTGCCATTTTGGGAGAGCCACACCAACAAGAAGACTTATACCAGATGTTGGCCTTGACCTTAGATCTCAAAAATCATAAGCAAAATAAACCTTTATTCTTTATAAATCACCAAAGTGACAACCAGTTAGTGACAGAAAAGCACCAAGACATGTGGGAAATGCTGAGTAAGCTCTTACTATGTTCTGGGTATCCTACTATGACCCAGGGATAAAAAGAGATTCCTTCTAGAAACTCCTCATCCAGTGGTACTTACTTTGGGAAACTTAAGAGTAGTTTTAGTGGGACCAGCAGTTGGCGTAATGGCTATGTCGCTGGACTCCCATGTAGTCGACAATGGTTTGAGTCCCAGACCCAGTGGCTTAAACTCATGCCAGGTGTGTGTGTGTGTGCGTGTCCAAGATCCCGAAAGGAGGGTGGAGGAGAAGGGATTGCAGCATGGCATCCCTCCTGGGGAATGATTTCTCACTTTCTATCTCTCTGTCTCTCTCTGTCTTTCTGGTGCATGTGCCCTATAGCAAAAACCTCTCAAAAAAAAAAAGTAGTTTTTGTAGCAAAGAGGAAAAATCAGGTGTGTGACCAGAGCATAATATTCACAGTTACTAATGCCTAATCTCAAGTCTCTGCTTTATCCTTTATGAATGTTCTGATGGCTCTTGCCTCAATTTATTTATAAATAATGAAGGAAAAATAATAAATGACTTTCATATTCCACAAGGTTGTTGTAAGAATCATGTAAGAATCAAATGGGTTAAATGCCTCGTGAAGTGTTAAGCCCTGAAGCATATAGCCAATTTATACACATGCAGATGTGGGCAGAGTACGTAATATATTCATGTAATTAAAGTAATCCCACAAACTACGTTTTGAATCATCAATGATAAATGCAACCCTACTGGTGAGTACCTCTAAAATTTTATTGTGAATTTATATTATTAGAGAGAGAGAATGTCAGTGAAGGTATATAAGACATCCAAGAATACGCATACTTGGAAATAATATGAACTACAAACACAAAATAATCCATCTAGACAGCAGGATAGCACCAAGAACTATGACTTACTTTCATCCATACCACAGTTGCATTCCTACTAGCAGATATTGTGCATGATACGGGCAGGGCATCGCCAATCTGCTTGGTCACTTCCCCACTTGGGTTTAAAGACAAATCCAAATCTGTGAAGCAGAAAATCTGTTTGAAATACAAACTTCAAGAAATAAGATAGTCAAAATTTTGGAGAAGAAAAAAAAATGTCAAAGAATCAACTCCTTCTAACTGCAATTGAAAATGAAAAACGGATTTATGTGATGAAAATAACTGAACTATAACATCATCAGACTCGTCTTTCAAGTCCATGTTGAGAGGACAAATGATTGGCCAATCTACTTGATCATGCATTTATTTGCTGTTAACATGATTGATGTTTCGAGCACCTATAAATATGTCTCTATCACCTTAGGGAAAAAAATCTTAAATCATTTGTGGAAGTAAATAAAGAAAGATGATGACTAGGTAAGTATTATAGAGTTGGTAAGGCCAATGTTAGGAAATCAAGTATATTTAGACATCAGGAAATGAACTGAAAAACCATGAGATAGTCTATGCATTTCTTCAGAGAGAATTTACTGTATTGGTAGATATTTTTAAAAATATTATTCTATTTCCCATGCAGTTGAAATTTAAAATAAGATCTATTGTTAAGTACATGGTCAGCAGAATTTTTTTAAAGATTGTAAGTGCAACTGAAAATATACAATCTTTCTGATGGATGGAAAATAATTTCTGTAAAAAATCTTACTGTTGGTATGATCTGTAAGAGTAAAATCCATTTAAGTGAACAAGCCTTTCTTGTACAGCTACTATGTCCCAAACACAGATGGGAGATAAAGAGATAAATAACGAGCTCACAATCTAATGAGGTAGCAGCATCATGCACTTTACTGCCTGTAACAAACAGCCCATAAAATCAATACCTAGCAGCAAATATGTTCCAGATTAGGAGTTCAGTAAATACTTGTTGAAAGATTAAAGGTGAACCTATACATAGAGGAGCAACAAAGATGTGTGGTGAACAGAAGCAAACTGAGTTTCAAAGCAATAATCAAAGCTTTGTCAAGGAAGTGTTAGATATTCATGGTCTCTGATTGGTTGCTTTGATAGGTGGAGACTTAGGGAAAAATTTTGCCACAAGCAAGGGTGAAGAGGTGAGAAAGCTTGGCAGAGTTCACAATGACGAATATCTGGTGTGAGTGGTAATATGTCACGAAAGGAAAACCTATACAATTAATTGAGGACAGGCGGTGAAGGACCATGCTTGCCATATTGAGAGTTGAGACTTCATTCTATGATAAGGGATTTGCTGTTACACTACACAGTTTTCCACATTGTAATTGCAATGTGTTGATTGCTTGCAATGTCATTTTAAATGTTCGTTTCTCCTGTTGGACTATAAGCACGAGGATAGTGACCATGATTTGTCACTGATGTACCCATGGTGTCTGCCACATGGTAGGCTCTCAAGCACAGTTTCTCATTAATATTTTAAAAGATGTGGGACCAGCTAATGGCATAGTGGTAAATCACTGGACATCCCACATGGCTGACTGCTGTTTGAATCCCAGACCCAGTGGCATGACAATCACTCCAGGCATGTATGTGTGCATGCCCAAGATCCCAGGAGGAAATGAAGAAGAGATTGTGTCATGCCCATCCTCCCTGAGGTGTGATTTCTCTTTCTCTCTCTCTCTCTCTCTCTCCCCAGTGAGTGCTTATACCCTATGGCAAACATCTATTTTAAAAAAAGGAAAAAAAATAAATAAAAATATATGACATCACATGGAAAAGTGGAGTTTTCTCAGAATATCTAGGTAAATTATATGTAGGTCAAAATTTTATTCAGGAGGAGTTAGAAGACTTCATTAGCTGGACAGTTAACTTGCCAGAGAGAAGATAAAGGGTTTTAAAACATAGTGATGGGCTTTGAAAGTCCTGAAGAACAATGTGTGTGTGTGTGCCTGAACTGGCAGGGGAACAGCAGCTGTGACGTCAGCAATGAGGAATGTGTAGGCTGAGCATCTGGATGAGAGGTCTACTCTGCAGACACGTGCAGGTATGCGTATGTGTTCGCTGCTTCTCTCTCCACACTCCCCTTAGGCATGTATGGAAAGGAAACAAATCTGTCTTTGGAAAACAGAAAAAGCAATCAAGAATCACTGGGCAAAATAGGGATTTTATGTTTTCATCTAATTTAGTGTAAAATATTGATTCATCTGCAATACTTCTTTCAACTTTTAGAGAATGATACGGGCCTTATGTTGCAGTCTATCTGTCAAAACAAAAAGGCATTTAAATCTAATTAAATGAACTGAAATCCAATTAAACTGTTACACGCTTTCATGGAGTTTTTTCCCCTTATCACAGCTGATCATCAAGGAACAATGCAGCTGCCACCAAGTCTTTTGCCTTGCCAGTTTGTAATTATCCCTCCCTGCCCAATCTATAAGTAATACAGATAAGAGCCCTCTTCTTTTAGGGTGTTGGTCTACCATGTCTTAAACATAAGCACACTGCACCATCTCTAAAGCACCAGATTACTGGCTACTGGTCCAAAGATACCGTGAACCCTGATATCAGAGAGCCATTACACAGGCAATTCTTCATGCTAGCTGCATTCCTTTTCTTTTCTTTTCTTTTCTTTTCTTTTCTTTTCTTTTCTTTTCTTTTCTTTTCTTTTCTTTTCTTTTCTTTTCTTTTCTTTTCTTTTTAATGGAAAGGCCTGGATTAATGGTCCCATGACTGACCCTCTACTGCTATACAGAGAGATCACTGTTTTCTCTCTCACTAGCACCTGATCGAGACATACTCCAACCGTACAATAGGAACATGGAACCCACAGAGAAATGGTGTGGCTTTGATGCTTTCTTACTAGTCCATTGTTTCTAAAGTGCTCACCAGGAGGCACTGTCTATGTCAATCAGAAGAGACCATCTGCTTATTTTATTCCCTGATCTACTTTCTGTAACTCCCTCAATATTTTAGTTCCTACAGGTTTTCCAAGGATTACAGCTGGAGTAAACGATTTAGAACCTGTGGTTAGGACAATGTCTAAAGTCTCCTTTAATTTTCAAACAAAGGAACACTTTATAGTCAATGGAATTGAGTGAATCATGTCTTAGGGAAACTTAATTGATGGTACTGTTGGGTGAAAGGATTTATTAGAAAATTTGGCCTCTTCCTATAAGCCAGACTGACACTTGCTTGACTCCGAGTTCCAGTGCTATTGGGGGCAGGGTGAGTTACTTTACTGATTCTGTGATGTATTGGGTACATCGATTACATGAACTGTCATGGATGACAAGAAAATGAAACAAAACAAAACAAAACAAAAACTCCTTCAAGCGAAATGTGTAATCTCTGTGTATCCCTTTTTCCATCATACTTGGGCCAAGATAACTTTTGTTCTTTCTGGAGATCGAATGCAAATTCCAAGTTAATAAACATATATGTTCAAGGTGATTTTAAAGGTTCTGTTTTCAGAAATTTTCTATCCTTTTATATAGAGTACATCCAGTCAATAAATTCTTTTTAATGCTAATAGGGCATATGTGCTCATGAGAGAGAGAGAGAGAGAGAGAGAGAGAGAACACTTCTGAGGGGATGACTATGATGCCACAGTCCTTTTTCCTCCATTCTCTTCTCGGGATTTTGGTCACACATGCACAGCTGCCTGGTATGTTTTCCAATCCAGCAGATCTGGGAATCAATCCATGCAGTCAGCCATGTAGGACCCAGTCATCTTAAGCACTATACCACCTAGCTGGCCCAATAAATGTCTTTTAATGATATCAACATCCTCTTTCAAAACCTAAGCATACATAACAGTATTGCCTGTGTTTGGGTGTTAATATTATTCTGTAATAAAAAAGACACTTAATCTACACCTTCCTGGGCCAACTGCAAATGTTGTGAACTTCAAGAATATTTCAAGATTTTCTTAAAACATATAATGAGTTGTTACTTTATGACCCATATAAGTATTATTAATTGAATACCCAAATTGAAGGTATTTAGAAAAAAGATGGAGGGTTACCAACACCAAGAACTGCCATTATCAGATCCATGCAGGGCTTTGAAATTGCTGTGCGAACCTGGAACAAGGTTGAGCTTACCCCAGTGCTCTTAACTGAGTTTACTGAAACCGACTTACTTCGGAATGATATAGCTGCAATTTATTTGAAAAGGTAATCGAGTTAGACTATTAGACACTCTGAAGGGAAGCTGGCGATGAAGAGGAAGGGACCTACAGTGAACTGTGATGGCAGTGGAAGCCATCATGCTCCTTTGGTCTGTCAGCGAGCATTTGTAGTCTCCTGTCGCATTGCGTCTCACATCTGTCAGCGTGTAGGTGTTCGAGCTTCTTATTCCTTCAGGCTGACCCTTTTGACAGAGGCAAAGTATCAGGTGATTATACTTGGTAGCTTCAACGAGAACAACTGTTACTTATTGATGAAGATGGCATTCTCTCAGATGAGAGCAAAAAAGGAGAAAAACACTTCTTTGATTGGATCAAAAAAAAAAAAGAGTGCACTTTGTATTACTAACATCTGATTCTCAGAGAAATAATATTTTGGTTGTAAGTAATTTAAGGAGCTAGTTTATATTGTGTTAATAATACCTATCTTATTGACAGCATGGCTTATCTGAGTTTTATAGCAAATTTTTAAAAATCCGATATTTTACTTTTGTATTTATTCCTTACCTAAATTGACAAAAAGATCTGAAGCAGCTTAAAATAAAGTTTACTATGTATCCAAAGGAAAAATGAAAGACAGGAAGACAGGAAGGAAGTTTTGAAGGAAAAAAGAAGAGTGAGAATGAGAAAGAAAGATGGGGGAAGAAAGAAAAAAAATAAGAAATTAAGAACAGAAAAAATATAGACGAAATAGGAGTGTAAATTCACAAGAAAAGATAACAAGCAGGTATCATGGCTAAAACTGAGACACAAATGTGGCTCTCTCATCCCTGACAGCCAAAGTAAAACCCTAATCAATTTCAAAATTGCTCATTTACAAATGAGACAAAAATAATATGTCAATGTATTAGAAGAAACAAAATTTTCTGTCAACATTTAAGTCTAAAAGAAATTACTATTCTTCCTAGTATCGTAGTTTATAATATTCTTAAATACTGCTAAGTGATGTAGCCGATGAAATTCATAAGCCCGTCTCCTCAGCAAACACAGTATTGAGTTTATAAGACTCTCTCATGAGAGGCGATCTCAGACTCAAAGCTGCAGAAGAGAAACCTATGTCCTCTGACACTGTCTCTCCTAGTCCGGCTCCATTGCACTGAAACATCCAAAAACCACTGTAGAGGAATTTCCCAAAGCGTCCTCTCAGCAAATTATTTCTATCAACTAAGATGTGGATAAAATTTAAGGACCCGGACTTCCAGATTATATGTGATGACAAGAAAGAGCCTGCAACATTTTCTACCAAGCTAAATACAGTGTATAAGAAACGTATCCCTGTTTCAGAAATCAGAGGTATATTCAGGGCAACTGTGTGGATAGATTTAGAATCCACAGTTACTGTCATTATTTTTCATTTTATAATTGTCTACATCTAAAGACCATATTCGTATAGCTTATATGGTTAATTAAATCTCCAGTTAAGATTTATTGTGATTTTTAAATTTCTTTGTCCCTGAAATCTCCCAACATTTAGAAAAAAAGGCAAGAATGTTGGTAGGTGCCTAAAAATCTACCACAGAGCCTTCTACAGGTGATGTTGCTTGGTCCCAAGAATAACACCCTTTCTCACTCAAGCTATCCAAGTACATATAATCTCAGTAACAGTCAGAAACCCAGCGACAGAACAAAACAATAGTAGTCTATATCAAGTAATTCTTAGACACTTACTGGAAAGTAAAACAAAAACTCCTCAGGGGGAGGATTGCCATTTCCTAAGCATTTAAGAGTGATGTTGTCCCCTTCTTTGATGGCATTTTTTGGTGGCAGCACTTGTATTGTCACCTGTTCTGTAGGATCTGTAAGAGTCACAGACACAAATTAACCATTTTCATCAAGTACTAAATTACTCTGTGCATACAATGTAAATGACTAAATTATACACAATTTTCTCAAGAGCTAGTAACAGTAATTACTTAAATGTATTTTTTTACAGAAGGATTGAAGTTAATAGCCACTTGCTATACCAAGTACTAATCTTAGAGCAAACGACAAAGAGACCTTGTCACGTAAAAAATCAATTTCTTAGCAAAATGTTTCTAACTGAGGTAGGAATGACTGTAAGTATTTTATGTGTAAAAAGACCAGTAGGTGCAGTCTCACTGTATGATTTCATTATAAGGAAATTTAACCACATTATATAAATCTTATAGTTTGGTAAGGCTCAATCAGTTAGTCAGGTAGTTAAAGCTATCAGACACCACTGCATTCATATAACTACACTGTAGTAAGTAAAAAAGAGAAATATGAGCTAAACAACACCAGAAAGGTGCCTTCAGAAGTCCATAACTGAGGAAAATACTGAACCCAATCAATAGGACTGTGAATATATTATAACCCAATGTTGTTCATTGGTGCCAATATGCACATTTCATTCCACTTTGGTGATTTTTACAGAGAAAATAGAACTAAAAGATATTCTTTGGTATGGGCGACTGCTCTACTGTAGAATGCTAAAGAAATTAATGTTCGGATTCAGTGGATCATATCTAAGGAACAGGAAATACAAGGCAGTGGTGGTGCAGGTTATACGTGGCCCACTTTTTGACTTAGCCATTTGTTATGTAGCTGAACACTAAATTTTGAAATCACATAACACAAAGGTTTGCTTCAGAGAACGTTTTCCATGAAACTTGGTAACTATCGAGGCATGTGTCTATATTTTCCAATGGGTGGTACTAAAAATAATCTATCAACAAAGACCTATTTTCTTATGAGCTGATAAAATGAAATGAGTAAGTGGTAGGATGGGAAGCTTTTATTTATTTTCCTTTTTCTACGTTTTCCAGTCATTTATCTACCTTTCTAAGATTAAAGTGCAGGCAAAAACTTCGGAGGGTTGTTATAGGTTGCTTCATTGCCTTTTCTTTATGCTTGGGCATCTGTGACTGTTTGCCCAGAACATTCTGAGGCTAAATAGCGATTGGTTTAATATACTTCTTGTTTGTTTTTCTGAGTTTGCCTGAGGTAGTTTCCTGACCGGCATTTCTCAGTAAAATGGAAAAGTAAGTGAAGTTTGTTTTTGATGGCCTGCTGCCTTCCATTTCTGGGTCTCCCTCACTCTTGTATGTTGGCTTCTCTGAGGAGTGCTTGGGTCTGCTGTACGACCCATCACGGTGGCTCACATAGGAGCTAGGGATCACAATCCTTCTGATGTTTGCCTCTATTTCAAAATTCCCCTTTTCTATATCCTCTCTTCAATAGGGTCCACTCTACATTAGAGGTCTGAATAATTAAACGGATCAGAGGGTTAGTGTAAAACTTTTGCATTTTATTTATTTATGCATTTATTTTTTAGAGAGAGATTTTTGCTATGGGGCACTGTGCTTGCCATAGAGAGAGAGAGAAACAGGGAGACGGAAAGTGAGAAATCACCCCCCAGTGGGTGATTTTCCTCCATTCTCCTCTTGGGATCTTGGGCATGCTCACACATGTACCTGGTATGAGTTTTAAGCCACTGGGGCTGGGACTTGAACTGCAGTCAACTATGTAGGAGTCTAGAAACACAGCCATTACACCATCTGCTGGTCTCAACATTTGCATTTTAGTCATAACTTTCTGGATGCCCACTATCATGCTTATCATAAAATGAAAGATCTCTTGCTGTCACTTTTTTTGCTGCCCCTGACTTTGAATTTTACTTTGACTATTTGTAAATCATCAACTTGCTTATGACTCTGGCTTCCTCTTTTTCTCTCTCTGATTAGTCAGTCAAGTTTAGATGACTGGTATTTCATAACATATTTTGCAGCTAATTCTCACCTCTGTTCCCAGTAACACTATCCTAGTCCAGACTCCTATAGCCTACACCTGAAGCGTCGCCATCAAACTTCATTTCGACTCTCACCTTGAGCCTCTCTTTCCTATACTGTCATAAATATTTCATCCATGTTAGTTTTTCTGAAGTAGCTCCTTAACTATTGCAGTGATATTCAAAATTCCTTCACTTACTCTCCCTATATAAAGATTGAGATAAAAATTCCTTAACCTGCTATTCACAATCTTGTGGTACCTAACTCAAGCAAGAATCTTACATCTCACTATGCTTCAAATACCCCTACACAGTAGCCACAAGAGTCTGCTCAAACTCTATCCATCCCTATTCAGTCATTTATCCATTAGTTTATCGTCTTTGAGTACTGGAATTAGAAAGTTGAAAACACCAGACTCCCTACCTCAATAAACTGTCATTCTCTCTGTGATGACACCAATCTTACAACTAAAACTGTGACAGGGCCAGTGAGTGTCATGGTGAGTCAGGCAAGGGACTCCCACATGGCCTACTATGGTTCAAGTGCCGTACCTGGAGGCTTGCTTTCTCATTTTCCCTTTCTCTCTCTTTATTTCTCTCTGGTCAAATTAAAAATAATAACAATAAATAAAACTAAATTAAAAAAAAAAAAACCTAAGACTGTGACATCATAAAAACTGCACATGATGTTAGGAATCACTGGTAATCCACAGATTCATGAAAGTAGGAAGTTTCTAGGAGGAACAGACCCTGAAACTGGGTTTTAAAGAATAAGTATGTGTTTGGTGAATGGTAAAGTTGGGATAATGAAAGGCATCTAAGTGGTACCCCGGAGAAAGAATCTGGAGAACAGAACAGACCACAGTGGGTATAATGGAGTGAGGAGGGCTGAGACTTAATGCAGGACCACGGCTAAACGGGACTCAGGCATATTGCAGTCAGAAGTGTGAAGATTAATCTGAGAGCTCCAGGAAGAATTTTAATCATAGCAGTAATACTTTCATGTTTGTGTTTTAGAAAGGTATTTCTGGCAGCAGTGTGGAGGGCAGTTTGTTTGGGGTTAGAAGAGAGGGGTAGGCAGACAGGAAGAAAACTATTTTAAAAATCCTTATAGAAATATAAGCAAGAAGGAATAATGGCACAAATTTAGGCAGCACCAGAAGGCAGAAAGTAGATCAGCAGAAAGATTTAAAAACCTATATTCTTTACCCAGCCTGAGTCTCAGACCCAGCTGACAGCTTAAAAAGCACATCAGGCACACGTGTGTGCATGCCCAAGATCTCAAGAGGAAAATGGAGGAGAAGGAATTGCGGCATGGCCATCCCTTCTGGAGGGTGATTTCTCACTTTCCCTCTCTCTCTCTCCATCTGTCTCTGGAGAGCACACAGGCCTTACAGCAAAAACTGAAAGAAAAAAAAAATACCACTCTGTGCACACCCTATACAGCCAGCCATGAAAAAATAATATCCTCTTATTCATCAAAGAATTTCTCTACCCATCCAACTCTACATGCTTGCCACTCAGATACATTCCTGTTTTCTCTAAAACCAATTTCTTAAGTCTTACCATTTATCTTCATATTCTCTACTGTCTTACCTCTCTACATTCACACCAAGATGGTTAATTTCCAATGGAATATTTTGAATAGAAAAACATTCTACCTCCACTAACAGAAATATTAGTGATTTTAGATAAACTACACATGATGAAAAATATTCCTTGCTTTTAAATCAAGTTGAAATTTATTTACCGAGTTTAAGGCAAAATAAGCCTTTAAAGGTAGGATCGGTTTGAAATTTTAGTTTTTATTCTGTATAAGATTCTGTGCCTTAGGGAGCCAAAAATGGAAATGCAGATAATTTAAAACTCTCCGAAGGCTCTACTGTCACGCCTGCCTCTTCTTCAAGATAGATGTAGGTGCTAGGTTGTTCTAGCATACATGGCAGTTTAATATTTTGATTCATTTTAAATAATGACAAAAATAATAAAATCCTTTATTGCATAGTCCAAAAAATTTTTCAGTTCTATGTTTATGTAATGACAATGATCATATAGTTATAATGACAATAGTCTTTAATAATGACATTTAATGTGAGATGCAGTTGCGTATTTTAGATTTGCGATTGCACTTAATCTTCCTAACAACCTTATGAGTTGGGCATTATATTTTTCCCATTTCAAGATTAGAAAGCTGAGATTTGGAGTAATTAATCTACCTTTTTACGAACACACAGTAGATGATAACTCTGGGCCTGCAATACCAACATCTTTGCTCTTAGCATTAGATTATGTAGGCATCTGTCTTACAAGGAAGATCATAGCATTGGAGAAAATGGTTCTAGTGGAGAAAAAGATTCTATTCCAATCTGTTCAGCTAATTTAGAGCAAGTCTCTGGACCTCACTTTATTGCTACATAAAATAATGGAGTCATAACAGATCATGAAACTTGCTTTGTAGTCTAATGTTCTATGTTTCAAATCTATGATTTGGTTAATAAAAATATCTTGGAATGCAACATCTAGTCTAATGCATGCAATTGATTTCATTATTAAAATAACTGTCTTCATTAAAATGATAATTCTTGAGAAAGTCAGTCAGTCATGTTTGTACTTCCTACCATTAATTGAAAAAATAACCAGAAGACACTTTGAATTTATACAAAATTTATAGCAGTGTGCCAGGACTGAAGACTATGAGAAGGAATTGATCAAGTCAGAGATCTTATCCTTAAAGAATTTAACCTCCAGTACAGGAGGAAATGCTCAGAAATAACAAAGAATGAAAGATACTATAAAGTATATAAGTGTTTATTCTGTAGTTCTCCCCAGGAAGAAGAGATTATTTGGGTGTCATGGATTTGGGGTTGAGTTGGAAACAGAATTCAAACAGTAACTGGATTGAGACTTCAAAGATTAATAGCATTTGAAATTTATCTCTAGTTCATTAAAATTATGTAACTAGGCCAGCAGATAACATGGTGGTTAAAGTGTTGAACTCCCACATGGCAGACCTTGGTTTGAATCCCAGACCTGGCAGCTGGCTTTCTCATTTTCCCTCTCTCTCTTTCTCTGATGAATTTAATAATAATAAATACAATTAAATAATTATTTTTTAAAAGTTATGTGATTATATATTGGGTTACTTACAGTAAATATCAAAGACTGCTTGTTCGGAATAAACTGTTTTCTGGCCAGATGGTCCATAATATGTCACAGAGCAGGTGAATGGTATTTTTATATCAGCCTTGGTTGTCTTGTACTCCAAGGATGAAGTCATGGTATAGAGCTGGGTAAGTGGGGCCACTTGCTTTGTAAAAGTTATGACTACCACTGAAGAAAATGAAGAATACTGGTGATGAGCAACTTTTATTGGAAAATCAACATCTTTAAACATAACAACACCTTTAGAAGTGGCTTTGTCCTTCTAAGTGTATTTAATAGGAGGGGAAATTGACATATAGTGAGGGAAGACATCTTTTCAAAACCATGAATCAGAGACAGAGACAAAAATAGAATCCTGGAATCTAATCTCCCACTCACTTTAATTAACTCTTAGAACATACCACATACAGAAATGATTTCCCCTGCTCTTGATTCTTCTGCACAAATGCTAAAGTGTTTTATTTTTTTAATAACTTCATGACTTATTGGATTCTTAAAGTAAAAAAGCATGAAGTCATAGATTAAAAGAGAGTGACACATTTAGGTCCTGGGTAGTCTAAAAAATGCCAAAAGAAGAAAAGTCATAACAGGTCATCTGGATTTATGGCCCATCTCATACCCACCTCCTTCCAAGGGCTGCAGCACTTTTCCATTCCTGTACCATGTGATGTTACCATCCGGGTAACTGTCTTTTGAAATGCAGTCACCCAGCTGCAAAACGAACAGGGGATATTGGTACAGTTGAGCAGTCAATTTGGAACCCCAGAATCCTCCGGGATTACAGAGCTATTCCAAAGATTTCTTTTTCTCACATAAATTATTAACATTTATTTCTTAAGATAACATTGTTTATTTACTAAAATAATTAAAATAAGAACATTTCATAAGGTTGCTAGAGATACAAAGCAAAATGCAAAATATACATTTATTTTTTCAACATCGAATAAGGACTCAATACATGCTCTCTGGTATAAAAACAGTCTTGTATCTTCAAATACAGTCTTGCTCATCTTTAAACGTGTAATAAATGCTGCTATTAATAAAATCATGTTCACTTAAGAGCATTACTAAATGAATTCTCACGCTATTTATTTTTTACATTGACTAAATAACATTACTACATTAACATAGACTACTACCGTGGTTCACTGCTCTTCATATGTAAGAATTATTTACAGTGTTAAAATGGGACTGTCTTTTCAATTTCATATTTTATTTATTTCAGACTCTATATAATTATCACATTCTATAAATGACACTACTTTCTTCAAATGTATTTATTTATTTTTAGAAATTTTTGCTATAGGGCACATATGCTCACCAGAGAGACAGAGAGAGAGACAGAGAGACAGAAAGTAAGAAATCCCCCCTCCCCCAGAGGGTGGCCACACCACAATCCCTTATTCTCCATTCTCTTCTTGGGATTTTTTCACAAACATGCATATGTACCAGGTGTGTTTTAAGCCACCAGGACCGGAACTCAAACTACGGTCAGGCTATGTGGGAGTCCAACAATATAACAATTATGCCATCTGCTAGTCCCTTAAAATGTGTTTTAAATTTAATATCTGGTGCTCATCAAATAATATTATATGGTAAACTTGGGACCAGCAGTTAGCATAATGGCTATGTCACTGGACTCCCACGTAGTCGACCGCGGTTCGAGTCCTGGACCCGGTGGCTTAAACTCACGCCAGGCACGTGTGCGTGCGTGCCCAACATCCTGAAGGGAGGGGGGAGGAGAGGGGATTGCAGCTTGGCCATCCCCTCTGGCGGGTGTTTTCTCGCTTTCTATCTCTCTGTCTCTCTCTGTCTGTCTGGCAAGTGCATGCACCCTATAGCAAAAACCTCTCCAAAAAAATAATAATAATAATAATAATATTATATGTTAAACTTTATTCAAAGCATTCAGGTCTTGTTTTTTGTTTGCTTGTTTTTTCCCCCTCAAAGGAAAATTTAGGTATTTTAGATGACGAAAATCAGCCTGTTATTCAACTGGTATTCCCACATATGGAACCACAAAGTCTTCCTCCTCACCCCCTTTAATATGACTTTCCTTTGCATCTCTACTAGTGTGATTGGGCAAAGCTGATCTTATAGGTGTACTTCAACCTTTCAATATTGTCAACTGAAGAAAATCCAAACCCCCTCATGATATTTAAGGCTTGTCATCATCCAGCCTCTCTTTACCTCTCCAGATTTATCTATAACCACACTCATTTTTGTTTCGTTTTGTTTTATTTCAAGTTTTTTTTTATACATTCAATCGCGTTGTTTTATTTATTTATTTATTTATTTATTTATTTATTTATTTATTTATAGAGGTTTTTGCTATAGGGCATGTGCGCTCACCAGAAAGACAGAGAGAGAGAGACAGTGAGACACAAAGCAATAAATCACCCCCCAGAGGGAATGGCCACGCCGCAATCCCTTCTCCCCCATTCTCCTCTTGGGATATTGGGTACACACGCACATGTGCCTGGTGTGAGTTTAAGCCACTGGGTCCAGGACTTGAACTGTAATTGGCTATATGGGAGTCCAGTGACATAGCCATTTGCCTTTAATCACATTATTTTGCTTGCAAAGTTAATATTCCAACATGTGTACATTTCCCCCTAGTCCAGTTGATAATAGTTTAACGTTATCTTCAAAAGATAATACCCCATTTCTTTGTCCCATTAATGCTTAGCCTCTCTATTTTTCTCCTAAATGTCCTTCCTCAGACTCTATTCCTTCACCCACCATCTTCCCACACTATATCTGGTATTCACAACCATTTCCTGTGTTTCTATATCCTTTAGTCATTCAGTTTTGGTCATAGAGTGTGGAGACTGACACTCTATGACCATTCCATTTGGGCACTCAAATTTTCAGAAATGGTAAAACTTGGTGTTTCTCTTACACATCCATTTTCTTTCAGGTCCTCTTATTTCATATTGTTAAAAAGCCTCTTCTAAATTTGGCCCTGGGGAAAATGTACCCATCAGTTATTATTCTATTAAACAATCGGTTTATTCAAATAGGAAAGACGCCTTCCCTTCAGAAGTGACTACACCTTCCAAAATGCCCCGGTGGTTGCAAGGCAGTGTGGGTACAGTGTCTCATTCTGTGAACACTTTCTGATTGGCCCCTGTAAAACTGCCAACTCCCCTAAAGAAAAGTCAAACTTACTTTTCCTGGCATCTGAGGCCATGAGAAGGCACCAGATACTATGCTAAGTACAGGTTGTTAATAAAAAACAAGTTCTTACCTTTTGTAGTTGCTCTGTTTCAAGAAATGGTGCTTTGCTTATAATTTCAGGTCTAGATGGTTGTTCTAAAGTTAAGTAGAGAAAGGTTTTAGGTACACATGTTAGAAAAAAGTGTATCTATGATTTGGTTTACAGTAAAAAAATTCATTTATTCAAAGCAGAAAAACAAGCAACAGAATAAGGAATAGATTTCCTCATAGAATCTGTAATTAAAAAATCTGGCACATGTACTACTTAAATATTTGCTTCATGATCTTAAATATTTTTAAGTGCTCATAACTTCTTTGAACAGAATATGTGTAAGGCATTCTGGGTGCTTTATAAGCGGTGAATATATACGATAGTGTCAAAGAGGCTACGTACTCCATAGGATATACTGGGTCATCAGAAAAGTCATGATGCATTTTTGCACAGAAAAATATGTCATGACTTTACAGACCTCGTGTTTTTTCTAAATGACTACCATGGGCAGTTTCTATGCACCAATTACTTCCACCTATTAAGTGAAGACACTAATTCAGTTAATTCACATGAGTCAGGATCACAGAGAAACGTATATTTCATTGATACATTAATTGTACATATTTACAGGCTATGGAGTGGTTTTTTGGTACATGAATACAGTGTGTAATGATCAAATCAAAGTAATTAACATACTCATCACTTAAAACAGGGGTCCCCAACCTTTTCACCTTCCTGGCACCACAGACCAGCCTTGTGGAAGGCAATTCCTCCATGGACGGGGTGGAAAGATGTGCGGTGTTGGTCCAGGGATGACCAAAGCACATTACACTGTACATCCCATTTCTACCACTACAACATTGCAACAAAACTACCACACAGCTTGTAGGGTTTATGCGCTCCAATGCTACCACCAATCCGACAGGAGGCAGAGCCCAGATGGCAATGCCAGCTATGGGGAGTGGCCTCAAACACAGACAAAGCCTCACTCCCTGGCCTGTCATCGACCTGCTACTGCACACAGTCCAGGAGGGTTGGGGAACCCTGACTTAGAACATTTATTATTATTTTGTGTTGGAAACATTCAAAATCCTGTCTTTTGACTATGAATTAGTGTTAATTCTAGTTACCCTATTGTGCTATAGAACACTAAAACTTTTTCTATTTGATTATAATTTTGTATCCACTAACCAACACATCTCCATCCCCTCTTTCCTTTATCCTTCCAGGCCCCCAGAAACCACTGTTCTACACTCCCTTTATAAGAAGTCAAATTTGGGACCAGCAGTTAGCGTAATGGCTATGTTGCTGGACTCCCACGTAGTCAATCATGGTTAGAGTCCCGGACTCAGTGTCTTAAACTCACGCCGGGTGCATGTGCGTGCATGCCCAAGATCCCGAGAGGAGAATGGAGGAGAAGAGATTGTGGCGTGGCCATTCCCCCTGGGGGGTGAGTTCTCACTTTCTGTCTCTCTGTCTCTCTCTGTCTGGTGAGTGCATGCGCCCTATAGCAAAAACCCCTCCAAAAAAAAGAAAAAAACGTCAAGTTTTTAGTTTTCATATATGAGTGTACCTTTTAGAAATGCAGATTTTTGAGACCTACCTGCTCTATTGATTCAGAATCTCTGGAGTAAACTCCAAATATGTCCATTTTTAAGAAGACTCAGGGAATTCTTGGACAAAATAAAATTTAAGAAAAAAAAATGTTCTAGGGGCTAGCAGATGGTGTTGTGGTTAAAGTGTTGGACTCCCACATGGCTGACCATGGTTCGAGATCCGGATCTGGTGGCTCGCTTTCTCACTTTCCCTTTTTTTTTTTCCCCTTTCTCTCTGGTCACATTAAATAATAATAATGAGATTAAAATCAAATAAATAATTCTTTTTAAGAAAAGAAAAAAAAATGTTCTTAAATCATGGGAAATGGGAAGGGATACAGAATTCCAAATTTCAAAATATCACAACTTGTATCTTTTAAGTTTTCACATTGTAGAATCAATAAATGTGGAGAAACAAAAATTTGGAAGCTGAGGTAATGAACAGAAGCATTTGAAATATAGGAAGTTCTATAACATCAGTGTTTTTTTTTTAAGTTTATTTATTTCTTCAGAGAGGAAGAGATAAGCACCCCCAACAGTCTCCATGCCATGACTCACCCTCCAGACTCAGTTAGTATGGCTCATCGGCATGGGTATGCCCACAGCAGGGACAGGAAGGTCTCTGGACAAGGAACAGACACCTAACTATGTGGTCCAGCATCACAGAGCATTGCATTAAAGATGTGCTATCATCTCTGGCTTCTATAAACATAAATTTTCTAACATAGCTTCCGAGAGTAATTGATTAAAAATTAGGGTGACACTTTTAAAGCTACTTTTGTTATTTTTTCCTTAGTTTCTAGCATTCTGTCATTTACAAATTTTGTATTTTTGAAGTAGCTCTAACAGTTAGTTAACAGAATATGTATCCTCTCTTCTTGTCATTGATTTTCACAAGTCTCATGGAGGAACAATTTCATTCTATTCTCATGTAAACAAATTAAAACCACCTGCTATTTTTCTTTCATAGTCTTATTGTTTACTATCTCCAATACTTTTCATTTTGATTACCAAACTAAACTAAACTGACTTTTGTATAATTACTACTCAATTTGAAATTCAGTTATCAGACATGTTACGTACCCAGACCATTATAGGAAAAAAGGAATGGTAATGTTGCTGATTAAAACTTGGAGTTATTGATAAAACATCTCTATTTCTGAATTCTATTCAGAAATAGTAAAATGGATATCACCAGACAGAATGAAAAAAAGTACCCTTCTTAATATTTGCAGTGAGGGGTCAGTCTGTAACATGGTGTTGAGGTGCCTAGATTCCACATGGCTGATATTGCAGCTCAAATTCCAGATTAGGCAGTTTGAGAAACATGCTGGGTACATGTGTGTGCATGCTGGAGTCCCAGAAGGAGGGAGACATAGAGAAGTGATAGCAATGTGACCATTCCCCATGGGGACAGAGGGTACTTTCCCACTCTTTCTCTCCCTGACTCTCTCAGGCAAGCACATAGTCCTTCTGGCAAAATTAAAGATAACATATATTTAGAGTTAATTTATTCTTTGCAGATACAGTTTATATTAGAAATTAGGGTCATGGATAGCAGTAATGTATTTATCTATGTGTTGAATTCATGCACTTTAATTATGAAGGTCTTATTTACTATTAATTCTAGAAATACAGTTCCACTAATGCAATTTTCACAGTAATGGTTTTCCAGTTGTCCATATACATCAATCGGAAACAAAACAAAAAATGACAGCACAACAGAGACACTAAACATTAACAACATTAACAAATAAGAAGCAACAGCTTGATGGTCGGGAAGGTGTCCAAAAAATTACCAAAAGCTGACCCCCCCAGGAAAACCCCTCAGAATAGACAATAGTTTCTGCGAAGCACATAATATACCAGTTAAGAGCTTCCACATATTAGTCAACCTTGATACCATCGCTATTTTAATGGAATGTTAATGTCCTTGATTAAAACTTTGAGTTTTGAATCCACATTTTGAAAAGGTAAATATTTAATATATTTGGGAGGAGAATGCACTCAAAATGTTTAACCAGAAAGAGAATGCTTAGGACTTTAATAAGAACGAAAGAGCTCTCTGGGAATTAAAACCAAGTATTTAATGCTACCCTTCTCTAAGAGCTCAAGAGATGTAAAATATTAAATTATTGTATGTGGTCCATGAGGAGCCAAGTGTAACAAGAAAAAGAGAACATATGGTTTTCAGTTTCTCCTTCAGTACTAGTATGCTGGGTGTATATGGAGAAATTTGAAAATCCCCCCATAAATTTTTACTCTAAATACAAAGAACTGTCAAGTAGTTTCACCAAGTTTCACTATTTTCCAGTTCACCAAAGTGAAATATCTGGGCACATAATCACTTCCTTTTTTATAGAATGTATACCTCTGCTTTGCTTTGTAAACCCTGTTTTGTTTTTTTTTTTTAGCTTTTTGCTAAGGGCATGTGGGCTCGACAGAAAGACACAGAGAGACAGAAAGCAAGAAATCACCCCCCAGGGGGGAGGGCCATGCCACAATCCCTTCTCCTCCATTCTCCTCCCAGGATCTTAGGCATGCACGCACACGCACTCCGTGTGAATTTAAGCCACTAGGTCTAGGACTCAAATCGCGGTCGACTACATGGGGGTTCAGCGACATAGCCATTATGCTAAATGCTGGTCCCAACCCTGTGGTATTTTATCAATGTATACATAATCATAAATACTTGGTTGGTTATAATCATTGGTCTTTTACACAAGATCATGTTTGCTTGATTTCCATAAACACTTCCTAAAATTCTTATCTTTTTTTTTTGGAGAGGTTTTTGCTACAGGGCATGTGCGCTTGCCAGATAGACAGAGAGAGACAGAGAGACAGAAAGCGAGAAATCACCCCCCATGGGGGATGGTCACGCCGTAATCCTTTCTCCTCCATTCTCCTCTTGGGATCTTGGGCACGCACACACACGTGCCCGGCGTGAGTTTAAGCCACCGGGTCTGGGACTCGAACCACGGTCGACTATGTGGGAATCCAGCGACATAGTCATTATGCTAACTGCTGGTCCCCTCTAACTAAAGAAATCTTGATGAAAGGATGCTTAAAGTTTAGTCCTTTTACATTATAATTAATTTTCTACTTGGAGGAGCAAGTCACAGTGAATATTGAAAGTAATGGTAATACTTATTGGATTTCCTTGAGTTATTTTCTCCTTAAACTTTTGTTTCAAACCCTCATATTAACTACATATTTTTATGTAATTTTCTCTTATTTTAGGTTATAACAATCGATGGGTATTAGTTGGAAGACTATAAAAGAGGACATGTACTATTTTAGCAAAATTGCATATTGATTCTAAAGTGGTTTTTAAAAATTTTATATGAATTATGCCTTAATATGATTCAAAGATTCATAACAAAGTACGGAATTGAGGGGGGAAAAAAGCAGTGCCACAAATGTATTTGTGTTAATAAAGTAGTTTATTCAAGGATACTAACTTAAGGCAAATTTTGCTTCTGAACATTCATGAGTAAGTTTGTCTAAAAGAACTCAACTGAAAACATTTATCAAAAGGTAAAACCATGACTTAGTTCATTTTTTTCCTTCTTGCTGTCCTGGCTATCTTAATAGAAGTAACTACACACTATATTATCACAAGGCCATGCTGCAGTAATTTAAAATTATAGAATAGGGAGATTTTTTTAAAAATCTTAAAATATAACGTTTAAATCTGATATTATTTTACCACATGTCTGTGAACTGGGACAGGAAGCAGCTGATACCCTAGCAGCATGTAGTATATGACAATATTTACAAAAATATATAATGCTAAAACTCAAATAATTTCGTTCTTAACTAAATAGAATGTAGGGTTTTCACGGAGATCTTACCATGTATAATTAAAAGCTGAGCTACAGGGGCAGTAGATGGTCTAACAGTTATGTTGCTAGACTCACACATAGCTAACCGCCATCAGAGTCCCGGATTTGGTGGCTTGAAAATCAAACTGGGTGCATGTGTGTGCATAACCAAGATCCCAGGAGCAGAATGGAGTAGAAGGGATTGCAGCATGACCGTCCCTTCTGGGGGGTGACTTCTCACTTTCCCTCTCACTGTCTCAGTCTCTCTCTCTCTTTTGGACGACCACATGTGCCCTAAGGCAAAAATCTCAAAAAAAAAAAAAAAAAAAAGCTAAAGCTAAGCTACATATAATACTTAGTGGCACTTGAAACATTTCATAAATAGCATGCTCACTGTTCTAATTTTCTGTTTTCTATCAGCTGGAGTGGTTACACAGATGTATGTTGGTAAAGAAGAAAGCTGTGGTGGAGAGTGGGGATCTGCCAGAAGGGAAGCAGCCAAAATAGACCTCTTATTTCACTGTAACACTTAAGCTGTTATTAGAGAATGTTACAAACATCAGCTTTAGGGAAACTAGAAATCAGCAGCGTACTAAAATGTATTGATGTATATTTTGGCATCTGGCCATCTCGCAGCCAGGTGATGAGACAGTGATTAGTGCAAACGTCTCTATATCACCAACGGTGTGTTAGAATTACCATCAAAACCACGCCTAGCAGAGCTCAGCCTGATAGGGCAGATGTACTGGTTGTACTGACTCCAAAGTGCTTCTCTCAGTGCTTTGTCGTTAGCAATTGCCTCTCATAAATCACGAGGTACTTCAAGTAAACGAATGTGTCCACAGAGCATTGATGGAAAATCACCGCATATTTTCATCAGATGGGGAACTACATCTTATATTTAAAGAATCAAAATAAAATGCAGTGTAGCTCTCACTTGTTAAACAGGTCATTTTCAGTTTTCCCCCACTAACACCCTCTAAAATTTACTTTTAGGTTGAATAAGTTTCATGAGGAAGGATGCTCAATTCTGGTAAAGCTTTGAGAGCGGTATCCTGATGGAAGATATCCAAATAAGAGCTCTGAAATCCTTCTGTGAGAAGCCATAAGCACTGCCCATCGCCACAGGAAGAACTGGTTTATACGCACACCATACCCTCTGTCATGGGAACGGTCTTCCTCGTGATGGGATGAAACACTGCCAGAGTAATCTAAAGGCTAGCAGATTAGCATAAATTGTGGTTTTTAATGCTTTTTAGAGCTGTAGCCTCTCTCCCCCACACACTTTCTTTATGAACAAATAAATTATCATAAAAAACTTTAAATATTGAATAGAAAGAAATCTATCTCATCAACTAAAAGCATCTCCTCAACCCTCTTATTAGCAGTTTCTGAAAGGATTTAAGTAATGCCTGGGAAAAACTCTCATTTAATCCAGAACATTCATTTCACTGATGGGGAGGAATCTTAGCCCTAGACTGGTGAAGCGATTAGATTAAGTCAGAAATTAGCAACAGATCTGACGAAGCAGGGTGTCCCGGTCCCAGCTCAGGGAAATTTCCATTCCACCACTGGAAGCCATTTGATTCTGGGTGACCATTTAACCTCTAAGCCTTTGTTGCATCACTGGAATGTGTCTTGAGGAAATGTAGGTTTACTCTTGCTTTTGAGTAGTCTAAATACTGAATATACTAAACACAAACACCGTTTTATTTTTATGCCATTCAAATCCAAAATGTAAAATGTGGATTAGTGGTGACGAAGCATTTCACTTATTTGGATCTGGGTTGCTTGAAGGGCTTAACTTTTTTCATCGGAGATACAGTTTAAAACTAAACAAACAAACCTACCCTGGAGGTAACAAAGTCATCACTCACAGCCTCTAGTCTGAGTAAGAACAATTTGACTTTGCCCCTGAGAATGGCAGTCTGCAGCAGCTGAACTGGGACTGGCTCCCATTAACCACACTGGACGCCACGATGCATGGTGCACGTCGCTAGGTGGTTGCACAGAGGGAAGCAGACGACTGCGTGATGAGCCTGGTGACTCCTAAGGGACTACAATATACACGCACAGAATGGGTTTCCCTGTCATGACTACTGTTTGCTTCACAAGAAATGACACCAAACTAGTTCATTATTTTTTTAAAGAAGCAAAGCTCCTATGCGCGTTTGTAAACTCTGCCTTTATCATGAGCCACGTGGTTCAATTTATTGGATTTTGAGGGCCCATGATTTCTAGTATAAAAAATCATTTTTAAGAGCGAGTAACTTGTCTATGTAAATTCTCCCTAGCCTACAGCCTGGAATGCAAGTTCCGGTTCGGAGAATCACTTTGTTTTCAACAACATGGGAAAAAGAAGGGGGAACAAGGTCCTAGCTGTATGTGGGGTGGGAGTTTGTTTTCACAATCATGGAAATCCTTGTATCCTAAAATAGCTTAGAATTGTGTTTCAAGTTAGGCCCATCGATTTTTCAAAATAAATTTCTTTTAGCATTTAAAAAATATTTTTAAAGGGACCAGCAGTTGGCATAATGGCTGTATCACTGGACTCCCATGTAGTTGACCGTGGTTCGAGTCCCGGACCTGGTGGCTTAAACTCACGCCAGGCGCGTGTGCTTGCATGCCCAAGATCTTGAGAGAAGAATGGAGGAGAATGGATTGCAGCACGGCCATCTCCCCTGGGTGTGTGTGTGTGGGTGATTTCTCGTTGTCTCTGTCTTTCTGGCAGGCGCATGCACCCTATAACAAAAATCTCTAAAAAAAATTTTTTTTAAAGTTCTAAAATGATTCTTCTAAATGGAATAAACTAGATTTTTTTCAGCTTCCCTTTGTATGCTATCTTGATATTCAATAATTTTAACAAAATTAAAAAGAAACTTGACAATAATAAATTAATACAGATAATAGTTAAAGTGCTGCAATCTTTGTACCTGCTGGGTAAATTCTTGTTATATTCATGACATCATAGCCTATAATCAAACAATTTTTGGTTGCTTTCTTTGCAGAAAGTGTCTTGACCTATACACTAGCCAACTTCTTAATAACATTAAAATGAAATAAAAGAAAAAAAAGGAAAAATACAGAAGCTATTGGCAAATACAGGAGGCAGAGTATTTGGAATGTTCTGTGAATGTGGGCATGACTGGCAAGCACCTGGCACTTGTTTTGATTCATAAAGTGATTGAGGAGTGTGAATAGTTTCTGGAAAGTGCTTTCTAAGCTGTAAAGTAATCAACTGAAACATGTAATATGATTTTACAGAGTTCCTCAGGAGAACAAAAGTTTCCTTTGATAGTATAAGCACTCTTTGAATCTATATCATAAACCCACAGGAGCTTTGAAGTCCAAATAAATACTTAAGGGACAGACCTACTTACTTGCATAGGCTATTATAAGAGAAACAGGAAAAATCCATGGTTGCTTGCTTTAGTTGAAAAACGCCCTCTGAGTTTCTTTCTTATTTATTTTAATAATTTCTAGGTGCTGTCAAGTGATCAGACAGCAGAAAGGGAAAAATGTTGTGAAGTAAGGCCTTTCCTAATAAAAAAGACTACCATCTGAAACTTTTAAGATCTATCTTTCCTCCTGTAATTTCTAAAATATTATGATATAACTGAGATAGAACTTTTTAATTTGAATTTTAAAAGATGAAATACATTAATTATAATTTAAATGATTTGCATAGCTATTTGCATTGTGGCATTAACTACATATTATCATTAGGCAGAGTAACTTTGCTATAGTGGCTATAGTAATTATTCCAAGGTTCTTCAATTTTCTCCCAATTCTACTATCTCTCCTTGGTGTATCCCACATACACATTCAGGATGTGATGAACTTTTTTATTTTAGGGCAATTTTCTAACCAAGTGAACACTTTGAAGTCTAAATCAGTAAGCATTAACTGTCATAATACACACACACACACACACACACACACACACACACGTGTTGGATCTGTAAGTCATAAGATAGTTTGAATTACTAATAGTTTTTGTTTTTACATATTAAAATGACAATTTCATATGGCTCAGCCTAGTACATGTATTTTATATATGTATCATGTATTTGTGTGTGTGTGTGTGTGTGTGTGTGTGTGTGTGTATGTGTATAAAATATTGGGTCATTGAAAAAGTCATGACACACTTGAGCTTAGAAAAACTTGGACAAATACGTTATGACTTACCTAACAATCCAATATTTACATATATTTTATATATATATAATATATATATTTATATAAATACACACACACATATGTAATCACTGAACAACTGTTTGCACATGGCAGTGAAACTTAAAGATCTCATACCAGTTATCACTAACAGTACATCCTATCTCAGGGAAATTTACATCACAAAACAAGAAAATATTATTTTGGTTACTCATTATAAACCCCCTTTTTGAATTTCAGAGTTTTTATTTTCCTTACTGACAGCATGCACACGCAGAATAAAGATCTCCGGGAATCTTGTCGCGAGGCCTGCTGTAGGAACACCAAGAGTGCAGACTTCCTAATAAACATGCTCTAGTACCAGCCATCAATCCCACTTAACAGTTAAATTGCATTTCACTTACTGAACACCTTGACTACTGTAGGTTTTTCGAACACGTTGTCCTCAGTCACCAGCATGCACACAAATCTCTTTTCATCACTGATCCTTGCATTACTGATAGACAAAGTGTAGTTTTCCGAGAGGCTCAATCTGTCTTTGTACTCTGGTACATCGTCGTACTGAACACTTTTCTTTGTAGAGGACCTGAAGGCAATAAATACTGGGGAACCATCGGGCTTTTCCTAAAAATTAAAATAACACATTTAAAAACTAAGCATATTTAAATGTTTCAGGATAACATCCAGAAAATCAAAAATTCCTTGGCCATATTTTCCCACTAATATTTATATTTCTTTTCTTTTTTTTTTTTTTTTTCTTCTTTCTTTTTTTGGGGAGATGTTTTTGCTATAGCGCTTTCCAGAAAGACAGAGAGAGACACAGAGACAGAAAGTGAGAAATCACCCCCCCCGGGGTGATGGCCACGCCGCAATCTCTTGTCCCCCTTCTCCTCTCCAGGATCTTGAGCATGCACACACAAGCGCCGGCGTGAGTTTAAGCCGCTGGGTCCAGGACTTGAACCACGGTTGACTACATGGGAGTCCAGCGACATAGCCAATTACACTAACTGCTGGTCCCAATATTTATATTTATTTTCTTGTCAGCTAAGAACAATTCCAAGTATAAACCTTATATAAATCTTTGGTTAAAGAAAATTACTCTTTATAAGGAAAGAATCTGTAAGTTCTTTAACAGGTACTGATTGAAACGTGCAAAAATGAAAGGATAGGACTTCAGGAATCTGAGTTTTTCTTGCATCTGGAGGACAGAATTAGTGACTGTCTTAATTTGACAAGAGCTTATGCCTAATACATAATTTTAAAAATAGGTACAAACAAACAAACATACAATTGTATAAAGTGATATTCAGATAATTATCATGGCAAGTATATACTTGAGCTGGTTTACGTATTCTAGGCAATTATCTTTGGCATATTCTTTATTTTCATCTACATACTTTAAATGTCCATATCTGTCAGCCAAAATTAATATAGTTGACCTTTACACAGAGCATAGTTCAATCAGTCTTCAAGAAGGAAAAATATTTACCCTTATAATAGAACAATCATGTCCCATTAGGCAATAGAATTAGATTAAATACTAAAATGCTCAGTTTTGTTACTTGAGTCATAAAGTTTAACTGAAAAGGCTTTTATATAAAACTTATTATCAAAATAAGATAAAACCTGGCATACACAATTATGCCAAGGGCACTGAGACATACATCTCCTCCCACTCTGGTCCCACAAAAATTCACTTACCTAATAAGCAATTTGATCTAAAACAGGGCCTGATCTCTTTTTTAACTTTACTGACAAGGTCTTTGAGATGAAATTAAAATGTGACATAAAATAAAAAATAAAATGTGACTAAAAATGTTAAAGTGCATAGCAAATTTAAAGCTTTGATGGGAGATTAAATTTTTAAAATTACTGGGTGGTTGGAAATGTCACAATGCATTTTTTGCATAGAAAAATACATCGTGACTTTTCCAACAAACCAATATTAATATTGATTAATAAGTTAATCTTGAAGTCTCTAAGTTTTAATTGCTCAAATAACTGAATAAACAAATAATATTTTATTATACTTTTACATTTCATCACCATTTATTATTATAGCATACTAAATGAATTTCCCCATCATGAATACATTGCATATCAGTCCAAAGATATCAAATAATATTCTTTTTAAATATTTTAATTTTACACAGGTTTACAATGGAAATTCTTCCCTTAAATTATTTCTCCATTATGGGAAATAAGATAGACTAGTAACGTTTAGTTTTTGCATTACTTTTCTCACATAATAAATAATAATTACTAATTTTTTAGCAGTTTCCTGTATAGCAAGTGCTTTCTTTGCACTTCCTATGAAGTCATCAATTGATCTGATACTCATAACAACCCCATAAATTTGAATTACAATATTAGCCTAATTTATAGATCAGACAATGGAAGCAGCATTAAGTAAAGAATTTCCCAAAGTCCCAGCTGGTAAGTCTCAGCAGCCTGGCTCCATGATTCCACTGGACTACTCTTGGGAGCTGCTCAATACCTCTTCTGTACCAGGCATGGCAGATGCTGGAGAAGAGTTGGGAAGAGTGAGGATGGGAGGAAAGAATGCAGAGCCATGGACTTCCATTCACAGGGAGTTTACAATGTGATCAGGGAGAAATTGGTCCATCCCTGCTCTGTTTGCTTCTTTTCATTTTCTTACAAGTCTCCTACTTGTTTTTCAGGTGGTTCCACTAAGTTGGAGTACGTACATTATCTCTGCCAATCAAGACTGACTTTAGATCACACCGTACCTCACACGTATCTCATATGTTTATGCTGAAGCTTTTTCCAATAAGCGATAAAGCAATTTGAGAATTTCCATTATTGTCTGGTTTCCGGTATTACTATGCCAATTCAGTTTAGGTGAAAATTACTTCCTGGCTTATACTGACAATTTTCTATGACTGGAGAAATTTTTCATCATCTGATTCACGTATTTTGGCAGCAAATTTGACTTGACAGTTGAATTACGTGACCTTTGAATTCTGGGGTGCTAATAGACATTGTCCTCATAGGCCTTAACTTCAAATGTTCATATTTACAGGAAACAGAAATAGTTCCAAGTTACTTAGAGTGAACTGGGTAACAGGAGGAGAGTGCAGTGAACTGTTTTGCTGCACTGTCTCCTTCCTTCCCTCTCAGATGCCACTCACAAGCACAGTGTGGTTAGGATTTGGCAGCAGTGCAGTCCTAAGAACTTATTTTCTCAAGCAATTGCCACATGTCAAATATAGGTAAATATCTTGATATGAATTATTTCATACAACTCTCACAGCAAGGCTATGGGGAAGACACTATTAGCTCATTGTATTGATGAGAATAGGGACTAATTCATTTACCCAGAATCTTACTGCTAATATGTGACAGAACCTGTTGGTCTGACTCTGGAACCCACGTTTTAAAGGACTGTGTTAGACCACCCCTTGAGTGCAACCTTAAGACATTTCCCACAGTGTGTCTTGCAGAATGTTTGTTCTTGGAGATATTTGGGGGGGGAAAAATTGTGTGGTCAAATAAATCTAAGAAATAAGTCAAATTATGGTCCTTGGATAATTCATAATGCATTTTAACATATGAAAAACTGAGAAATGTTGCAATAAAGATTTTTGTAAAGAATTTTACTACTCAATCCTTTTTCTATGCAGATACATTGTACCATTTCAAGGAGCTAATAAGGAAAGGGCTATTGTGTCCATGGAAACATACATGGCCTTGAAACTTGCAAGGTGACAGTCTGCCATGGTCCAGCATTGGGAAACTGGACCAGACACCTTTCATTGACTTTGGTACACCAGAGATATAATCAATTACCTAGTCACCCACGAGGACCACTATCCTCCATATCGAGATCCAGGTATCTTCATACCTGAGAAAGTGATATTTTTCCATTTGCAAAAAGTGATTAAAATAAACAATGTTAAATGTAAGAAGGACCTGCAATATCTGCTTAAGGACCTATGATACCCACGTAAGTTTAAAGCTAAACTCCAGAATTGGCTTATAATACCAAGGACTAATCCCTAATGAACAGCTAAGAGCTCATGCTACTACTGAATACATGAGGAGTCTTCAAAAAGTTCCTGGAAATGAGAAGTATAAAAAGGTGTTCCAACTCCATGGTCTAGGGGTTAAGTCAAGCTGTTCCCTCATGGGAGACTACATGGATCAAGTCCACCCTGAACCTGGAGGCTTGAGAAACATGCCACGTGCGTGTGTGTATGTGTCCAGAATCCCAAAAGGAGAGAAAGGTGGAGAAGGAACTGCAGTGTAATTTCTCCCCATGGGAGGGTGCCTTCTCCTCTCTCTCTCTCTCTCTTTCTCTCTCTCTCTATCTGCTCTTCTCTAGCGCGTGCACATGCTCTCTAGCAAGACAACTATGCATTGATTTCAACAATTTTTTTTTGCACCAAGATAAGTTCATACATTAATTCCATATTCCATGCCATTTTTGAAGTCTCTTCATAGTTTGCTTTGCAATAGTCACACCAAACAGACTACAAACAAGTTGCTTTGCAATAGTCACACCAAACAGACTACAAGACTGGAAGAACTGCAGTCTTACTCCAAGTTCTGTCTCATTTTCCACTAATCATACTTGGAAGCTCTGCTTTTTCTCTGCTTATAACACTAGCAAATAGATCTTTGAGATTAAAGTCATCTAAGAATTACATGTTTATTAGCATTATTTTAAAATAGGATTTGTAATATAAGATGGGAATCTTTTTGACATATTCAACACATTAGTTCTACCTTTGTACATTTGAACCCGTAGTTGACCCTGCCATTATAGTAGTTTGAAACTCATATTTACTCACAGAAAGAATTTTATTTTAAAAACCAGAGGTAATTAACCAAGTCCAATGTAGATCACACTTACATATTTCCATTTGCCAAACATGAGATTCTGAGGTACATCGAGTTGACAAGGCATGATAATGGTGTCTCCATATGTTGAATGTACAGTGTACAGTCCAAGGCCTTGAGATAGAAGGAAAAGAGAGACAGAAGGATTTAGCGTTTCCTTAAAGTAACAAAGTAAACTACCGTTCAAGATGCATGTCTTAATGAAGATTATCTATTACACTTTATATTAAATAATATACAAAAGATATGAGGTCAGAACATATTTCCTATTTAAATATTAAAATCTCTTATTTCTCTACTAAACCTTTGAATGCCACACCACTCAAGTTTATAGACCCCCCAATTTATCAGAAAATAGGTAAGTAGCATATTCCAAAGAAACACAGTAGACTCTGGTTGAATTTAATTTTTCACTATATTTCATAGAAATGTGGGACTATACAAAGATTAAGATGTTTAAAACTTTCAAAATTCTCTTTCTGTATAGACTTTTTGTTTGAAAATAGTATCAAAATTCAGTTATGGTTTTCTATGTGTTAGTTCTGTTTTTAATAATTTTACCGAATTAAGTAATTCTTTCAAGTTCAAAGAAATATTAAAAACAGAACTAACACATAGAAAACCATAACTGAATTTTACTTAAAGGGAGAAAATGAACATTAAAATAGCTTATTTTGTAGCAGTATAGATTAAAATATTAGTTTTAATTTTACTTTTGCATAAACTGTTAACATGGTAAGAATTTATAGTTTCAGAATTCTTCATAAAGTATAGTTTATAAAGTGATTACCTGCAGCTTGGGAAAATAATCTAATTTAAGCACAATTTTCTAGTAGGCTACAGAAGACATGCTGGTTTCACTTAATTCTTTATAAAGAAAAAATGCAAATGATAAGTAATTAAATGTGAAAAAAAACCACTTTTTGCATATGAATGTAAAGTATCATTGAAATTTATATACATTCATGAAGTTTAAACAGATCCAGGCATTTAAACTGACAATAGTACTTACGAAGCATCTCAGATATTTTTACCTTATTTCATTTACAATGATTTTTAAAATTTAAAATTTTACTATGGACTATATTAAGAGACATAATTGGATTTACATTGTGAAAGAGCTATGGTATTTTTAAACTATGGAGAAAAAAAGTAAACAACTGATATTTTTTCCACCAGGTGGTGCTAAAGTGCAGAATGAAGGCAATCTGCAACTCATAAATAAAACCATCTTATGCCTTTCTGAAGACACGAAACTGGATAGATAACATTTTACCTGTTCGACATCAGTCACAGTGTACACAACAATTTCATATAGAGATAAAAATCATTAACCTTAGTAAAGAACAAAGGTAATGAAATTTCTATTTTAAAATTATATCAATTGAAGAGGTTACTTTCTTTTTAAGCAATTTTACCTCAGTGAGCAAAATCATAGCAGAGAACATAGGCTTTATACAAACATGCAACATAACTACTAATTTTCAGCATTTTCAGCACTGTCAAGATACAGAATATATAACTGAGAATGTATTTTTCACATGCTATTGGAGTTAAGTCTACAGAAAATTGCTAATCATATATTCAGTATTGTAATGAAAAATCACCTTGGTAAATTTAGATTGTTTTATGTTCTCTATACCAGGTTTAAAGAAAAATAACCCAGCCAATTGAATAGAATTTTAACTAAGCAAAACTTAACATGATTTAAATTAGGGAGTTGTCCCCAGACTTTCAGACAACTCTGGCTAACATTGTGGTAGACTTCGTATTTAAGTTCCAGAAAAGGGAAAATACCCTACACAAAAACTTCCTTTTTTTTTTTTTTTTTGAAGAGGTTTTTTTGCTAGAGGGCGCGTGCGCTCACCAGAAAGACAGAGGGACAGAAAGACAGAAAGCGAGAAATCACTCCCTGGGGGGATGGCCATGCCGCAATCCCTTCTTCTCCATTGGTCTCTTGGGATCTTGGGCATGGGTGCATACACACACACTCCCGGTTTGAGTTTAAGCCACCGGGTCTGGGACTCGAACTCTGGTAAGCTACATGGGAGTTGAGTGATATAGCTATTACGCCAACTGCTGGTCCCACAAAAACTGTGGTAGAGAAACAACTGGATTGGTTACAGGTGGATGTAGAATGTACAAACAGCCCAAAAGGTGGGCTTTGTGTGGTTGACTGAGGTGTGACCAGTGTGATTGGCTGTAACTTAGCAACAAGCTCATGAAATCAACCTAACATGTGGGATTTCCACCTATCCATAGGAATGCAAGTGTGGGAGTATGGCAGCAATTTTAAGCCAAAATAGTTTAACAATTTCACCCCCTTCTGGTTAGACTTTAAATTGTATCATTTCTTTTACTTTCAAAACATCAGACAGCATAAAATTATAAGGAAGAAATGTTCTCTTCAGTCTTGTTAAGATAAAAATAAAGAAGACAGGTAATTTGGCTGTAGATATGCAAACTAAGAACATTTAGGCAGTTGGCTACTTACAATAAAGAATTTGTTTTCTTTTGTTTTAGAATAATTTTCCTTCCTTCCTTCCTTCCTTCCTTCCTTCCTTCCTTCCTTCCTTCCTTCCTTCCTTCATTTTATAATTTTGACCAGAAGAGGGACAGAGTGAGAGAGAGAGAGAAAGTGAGAAAGAAGCCACCAGTTTCAGGACTTGAACTGCAGTCAGTCACGTGGCAGTTCAGCGCCATTAACCACTGCACCACCTGCCAGCCCCTGAGAACTTGTTTTCTAGTATGTTTGGCTCCTAAATATGAAATTTCTACCATGCATTCGAAGGTATGTTCATATACTATACAGGTACATGTCCGCCCATTTTGCTTTTTCATCTGTTTATAGCATGACACTTGAATATGTAATAATTATAATGTGACTTGTCTCTCTATCTTGAATTGTGACAGAACATGCACCTCTAATTGTCTCTTATCATTATCTAGGCACACCTCTCTTTGACAATTAACGGTGCTTAACCAGTTAGCTAAGGAGCAGAGTTCACAGAACTTAGGTACCAACAAGATGAATCCTTTGCTAGACACAGGGAAATGAAATTCCTTTTCCAAAAAGAAGCAATGCTCTGTTCTTTCTCACAGATCATTTTTCTTTTGTCCTCACCAGAGAACTTTAATTATAAAATTATACACCAAATTTTATAACAGGCTTTAAAGTTGTATGAATTTCAAGTACATGGTATATTAGCACGATTAAAGCAAAACTATAGCAGAGTAGGGACCATATATTTTTAATCTTTGTATCTCCAGGAATAATATCTGGCATTTAATGAACACCTAAGAAAATCATTTCTTGTTTCAATGTTGTGGTTATCATTTTGGTAATCAAATTAACAACTTTGGAAATCAGAGAGTAGTCATTAATACTGGAACTTTGAGAATTCTTTTTCCTACCACATATTCTAAAGACTGTTCTATATTATCTTAGATGTGTAGAGGACTTGAATTTTATCCGTGGTTGGCACCCTGCCTTGAGAAATGAATAAAAAGACAACCTTATTTTATAGGAGTTTCTGGATAAAATTATAGGAGACAACACCCCCTTCCCTTTCAAGAGAATTAAGAATTCCTAGTGTTTTCTGGCTTGTGAATGGTACTGTAAAGTGTTCCTTTCCTCTCTTGTCATGACCATAAAGCAAAGAGTTGTTTCTGTTGTTTATTAAAGGTTTTTTTTTTTTTTTAAATTGTGGATTGTGTCTTTTAATGACAACTCCAAACCCCAAATCAGTCAGGACAGGACTCTACAAAGCAGGACCCACACAACAAAGTAAGACGTGTGAGAAGAATGAGGGCAGCGGGCAAAAGGCCAGCAGTTAAGGGCATAAGCACCGCTCCATAGCCTAGGGCAAAAAGAATGCTAATAAACTGGATGGCATGAGGAGCTATAATCATGCTGGCTTTATAGCGTCCATTTTGAAGTTTGCTATAATCATCAACTTTCCTCTTCTGGAAAGAGTTTACTGACTCTGTCTGCTAGAAATTTGCACCTGTGAAAAAACTATCATCTCTAAACCCCTGGGAATAAAGTGGCTACAAAGACCACAGTGACTTCGATGATAAATTAGCATTCTAATTTCTAAAGATGTTTAATTTCTGAAGTACTAGGGAGACCCAAGGTATCTGTCAACCCAAATTATTCTGTTTACACTTTTCACGGAAGAAAGAGCTCTTTATCTTTGAATTGCCAAGTCTGAAAATTGAGTTCTGTGTACTAGAAGTCCCCTGCTATTTTTTCGATGTAGTATTAGTCACGTAGATTATTTAGGGTCTTGTATCCTAAAGATGCTTATGCACCTTTGCCGATGTAGAATGACTTCTATGCTCCACCTCGAAGAGGTTAAAGGCAAAATGGAGAACAAACGTGTGGGTGTAAATGTGTGCATTTGCGGGAGCTACGACATATGTCAGGCCTGCATGGAAAAGAGAACTTCAAACTTCACGGAAAATGGAATTAAGGTACAAGTTTGTTCGGTACAAAAGCAAATCTGTGCGAGAGTTTCTGTGATCCATAATTCCTACGAGCTTCTGAAGTTTCTCTTGTATGCGTACGTCATAAGACATTTAAAATGGACCTAGAGCCTTTTGTATTAAGTAGGCTGTATAAACTTAAGATATTTTATGATATTTTTATGAATTACCACTTTTTTATAAAAATGTCTTGAAATAAAGTAAGATATAAAAATGTGCCAGACTTCAGAAGCAGTAATTATCTAAGCATTTTTTAAATAAAGGGTTATTAACCAAAGATAAAGAACAATAGAACTAGAAAGCCTGAATAAGAGAATTAAGTGGAAATGTTATGTGGTAAACACTGAATTAGGCAACTCTCTTGACCAAGTAGTTTTGACTTACAGAATATCAGGTAATTGACCATAAAGTATAAGTAAGTTATAGTCATACATTATGTGCCCTGAACAATCTAAAAGAGGCACTAAAAACAGACTTAGGTAAAATCTTAAAGTTAGGGAAACACTTTTTATTCCTAATTATAATAATAAAAAGGTAATTATTGTGTTTTAATTGATGATATACTTTTTTCATACAAGTTAACTTTCAAGTTCAGAGGAGTCATTTTCTTTGCAGGGCAGATACAC